CCTAGGCCGAAAGTACCCAAATCGCTTTACAGCAAAAGACACCACCAAAGACAGCTTAAGAAGGCCTAATAAGGATATCTGCTCCCTTGTTACAACCTTTTAAACACTACAAGGTCGCAGCAGGCTGCAGCGTCAAGCCAGCCAGGCTTTAGGACAAATCTAGCAAAAGGCAATCAATAAGGGACATTAGGGCCTTTATATACGTCCTAACGCTATAGATAACCGCCTTTTTAAGCCAGATTACCTCTATAGGCACCAAGATTATTACAACTGTAGCTACAGCAAATCAGATACCTGTAAGGAAGCCCTGACCACCTCGTGTGAGGCACTTCAGTGCGACCACTTACGCCTTGTGGCCAGGGGCCTCCCTGGGACACAGACATCTCACAGACAGACAGATGATGGCACAGAAGTGTAACAGGTTTGAATAGTAGTAGGGCGTATCGGCTTAGGTGACACTATAATAAAGGCTGGGTTAGAACGCGACAGGATTGCTAGAGAGTATGACCTTATTGCCTTTAAGATGGAAGGAGCAGGTGTGTAGGACGAGATTCTATGTATTATTATTAAGGCAGTTTGTGACTATATAGATAGTTATAAAAATAAGAAGTGGCAGCATTTTGCTGTAGTAACGGCGGCGTTAACGATAAAGGCACTTCTTAAGAACTATATACCTATAGATAGTTTATAGACTTATTATATATAGTATAGGTGGCCTATCCTTATATATAGGCTTTGCTAATAAATATAAGTTCTTGTTCTATATAATAAAAACCTAGACTTTGTTAGGCGATCTAATATTCTTAATCAGATTAAACGGCTTTTTAGGTATAAATAGCACCTAGGATAGTCTTTAAAATTGCGGTTAAGGTTTGCAATTTATAGGCTTAAAGGTATTAGGTACTGTGAGCTGTAATCTCTAACCCTTAACGCTTTCTAATCCGATGCAGGAAAATATAAATTGCGCTTACTTATATATTCTGGCTGTAACAGATATACCCTGACGTTTCTATGTTTTAGGTTTATATAAGCAATACAAAGCGATTTCGTTAAGCGTACTACTCTATTGCTTAAGAGTATAGTATCCCTAGATATAATAATCCTAAAGCTAATATACTTTTACTTATTAAAACTTAGCTTAAAAAGGGGGTATAAGGCCGGTAGCTTATAGTTATTAATAACGCCGATAACACATAACTGTTCTTCCCGCCGTTATCTTAAAGTAGCAGCATCAACACATATTTAACAGCTAAAACATAAGATAACTTAAGACGCTATATCCCTAAATATAATTACAGATCTATTCTTATTATAATAAGGAACAAGCAAACTGTATTAAGGCTTATATAAGGGAATTTACTTCTCAAAATTAGAGGAATAAGCAAGAGCAAGGCAAGTCAGCTACTTCACTTAACACTCAATAACGAAGTTTCCGCTAAGGAGGCATTAATTCTCTCTACGCGACTTAAGCATCTACCGCTGGCCCTTACGCAGGCCGCTGCATTCATGCAAGAGAACAGCATTTCTATCTCCAAATACATTCGGCTCTTAGAGGAAAGCGGTGACAGCCTGGTAGACCAACTGAGCGAACCATTTGAAGCAGTTGGCAGAGACTCGGAGACACCGCACGCACTCACAGCTACGTGGATTGTCTCTTTCAACCAGATCCAGCAACAGGAAGCTCTTGCCAGCGACGTGCTATCTTTCTGTAGTCTGCTGGATCGCCAAGGCATTCCCGAGCAGCTTATAGTTGGCTTCTGCAACCAGAGGAATGAAGGGGAAAGATTGGTCAGCACAAGCAAAATCACAAAGGCCCTTGGGACACTCAAAGCCTTCTCATTCGTCTCAGAGGCGAAGGGCAATGCAATCGATATGCATCGGTTGGTGCAGCTGGTGACACAAAAATGGCTAGAAATCCACGGCAAACAGGCCGATTATGTGGAGCAAGCGCTTCGAATCGTGTCAGACATATATCCGTACGGTCAACACGAAAGTCGACAGGTTTGCCACGATTACCTTCCCCATGCTAATGCTGTGCTTCAAAAGCAGGGGACTGGTTCTTGTGATGAGCAACTTGCGAGAGCGTCCCTTTTACTCAATATGACGGGCTACTTCCTGTATCGCGGTCTGTGGACACAGGCAGAGCCGAGTGCAGGTCAATCATTGAGGCTGCGGGAGCGAATTCTTGGTCACGAACATCTGGACACGCTCACCAGCATGGTCAACCTAGGGTCGACATACTGGAACCAAGGGCGGTGGAAGGAGGCAGAAGAGCTGCAGGTGCAGGTGATGGAGACGAGTTTGAGGGTGCTTGGAGATGAACATCCTGACACGCTCACCAGCATGGTCAACCTATCCTCGACATACCGGGAACAAGGGCGGTGGAAGGAGGCAGAAGAGCTAAACGTGCAGGTGATAGAGACAAGAAAGAGGGTGCTTGAGGATGAACATCCCTCGACGCTTACCAGCATGGCCAACCTAGCAGCGACATACTGGAAACAAGGGCGGTGGAAGGAGGCAGAAGAGCTACAACTGCAGGTGATAGAGATAAGTTTGAGGGTGCTTAGAGATGAACATCCCCACACGCTCAGTAGCATGAGCATCCTAGCAGTAATATACCAGGGCCAAGGGCGGTGGAAGGAGGCAGAAGAGCTGCATATACAGGTGATGCAAACAAGAAACAAGGTGCTTGGGGATGAACATCCCTTGACCCTTACCAGCATGGCTAACCTAGCAGCGACATACTGGAACCAAGGGCGGTGGAAGGAGGCAGAAGAGCTAGACGTGCGGGTGATGGAGACGAGTTTGAGGGTGCTTGGAGATGAACATCCCTCGACGCTTACCAGCATGGCTAACTTAGCTTATACTTGGAAAAGCCAAGAACGGTATGTCGACGCAATACGGTTGATGTGTGACTGTCTTGCACTTCGACAGCGCTTCCTGGGAGTCGACCATCCCGACACCAAGTCTTCCCTTTCAACCCTCACAGAGTGGCAGAAGGTTCACGCATAAATTGAAGGGTGGGTTCCAGTTGCGAGCAAGTGAGTCAGCTCTAAACGTGATTTATATAGGAAATGAGAACGTAGCGAGGCGGCTGGCAGGTAATTACGAGTCCTAAAAACCATTCCCAAAGGACCAAGACATCGCAGGTGACTCTCCGAGCCTTAGCAAACGCGCCTGCGGTACATGCTATCAGAACGTCAACGTCTGCTGTGATTCCAATGGATGCCAGAAGGTTTCCTGCAAAGCAACTGTGGTCCTGATGACAGGTATATACCCCTTTACCCTTGGTATATGCTTCTTTCTCACTCAAAAATCAGTGACTTCAACCCCTGTGGGTTGTGACTACGCATAGTGCCAAAGGCGCTCCGACGGGGAATACTATTACACTGCCATGATTATTTTAGAATCGTTCACCTCCAGGTCAATGGAATTACCAAACTGCGACAAGACTAGCGTGCTGCGTATAATCCGTGACTGCTCTCTGGGTTCGTATAGTGAACGGCGTCGCTGCCTTATATTGCACATACTACTATTACCTGACGTTGCGACCGTGTAGCTAGCTTGCTTCAAGATCTCTGCCCGATTCGGCTGCCTCGGTCCGCGATGCATCGACAAGAGTTGCCTTACTGCAACTATAACTACCGGGTACCGCATCTGAACCTCTCGTAGACGTGCATCAATCTACCCGTGTCAAAGCTTTTCATTTGGCTCTTCAGCTGTGCAACCTCAAGAGGGACCGTTTTGATTACGGATATCAGTGTGTCAGTCAAAGATGATCTCCTAGACCCAGGGGCGGTAGTGATAGTGATTGCATCATGATGGAAAACATCGTTTGTCTTACAAAAAGCAGGAATAGTTAGCGGAATGAGATTCAAGGGAACGTAGCGAACAACAATCGAAAAGAATCGCAGTAGGATTATATTTACACGGTAAACGTTCCCTACGTAGGCACTCACCAAAACCATTGAAGCCTGCATCATGCCAAAAGAACACAACTACGTACTCCGCGGGAGAATGCTAGGCTTTTTGAGGGTCACTGAGACCGCATACATACTATTGTCGCTGGAAATTATAGGAATACTCGGAGGTTGTATCTGTAAATCATAACATCAACCTCTGCATTCAGCGCCTTCATGTGCGCAGCCCCGTATGACTCAGCCATGCAGTTGGCCAGAGAAATGGGTCATAACTCGGAGCCTAAAGCTTTAATCTACCTGTCTTGGATTTCAAAACACTTTAATCGAGCTGAACGACGTGGGTGGAATGGGAAAGCACGCCAGGCTTACAAAAGCAGCTGAAACGATATCCTGGATGGAGGTGCCGCAGCCTGATGCCTCAGGGCGTGGCAGGACATGGTTCGCTATCGATGCCTGAAGAACGCCCGCATCCTGTCTTTCACCGCTGGCTACATCTGTCTTCATAAGCATTGACCGAGGTTAAAGGATAAAGTATTGGGGGAACGTTGAAGCTACTATGAGACTCGACCGAGGAATAAAAGTGCGGCCAGACTGATGACAGCCTGGTTTGGCGCAAGAGGGTCGCTTATGAACATTTCGGAACCAGTCTATTCTCTCTAGATAGGATACGTCAGTGTCTACTTACCTACGTCATAGAAGCCTGGACCGCGCCGTCCTGGCATCTCCCTGCATCGGTTCTTCGTGCCATACCATCCCTGACGGCATTGGTGATATCGATTCGGTGTTAATCATTCGTGTTATACTATCCCTAATCGTTATTGGGTATTCTATACAGCATTAAGACATTGAGAAACGGCACAGGTCAGAGGCGCCACGTATTGGGTTTTAAGTACTGTGATATTACATTTACTTGGTGAACTGCACTAGACCGCTTATGATGGTTTATATATTCATCAACAAAAGCTTCGTCATTTAATGATGTGCTAGTCTTCTCCAAACTCCCCAAACAGCTTCTCCACCGGCTTGCTCCGTTCCACCTCCGGGGCGATGTGTAAAACAAGAATGAAAGCCAAAAATAAGTGATTTCGTCCAGGTTCGAACTGGAGACCTTCAGTGAACAGGACGACAGGCGAAGCTTTCGAGCTGTTAGACTGACGTGATAACCAACTACACCACGAAACCATTCGATGGTTGGCTCCGAGGCAAAAAGGCACCAACACTGACAACACAGGAAACAGAATGTCACGAGCAGTCCCAAGCTCCTGCAGGTCTGATTCGCGCTCTTGAATCGATCTGTATTAAGTTACACGAGGCTCAACTGCCAATCTCAAAGCTTGCGTCCTTTCGCAACTTCAGATGTCAAACATCTCCCTCAGAATGCGCATCGTATCCCGGGGACCCGTGACGGAATGGCCTATGGTGCGCTCATCAACGTAGATTTCGTAATCGTTTCCCCCTTTCGCCGTCTTGTCACCGAAGAAGTGAATCTCGTCAAACTTGACGCCGCCGTTCTTTGCCTCGTTCTCGAGGTGCCGTAAACAGTACGTCTTGTCCCAGCCGGTCGGGAAGACGTCAAAGAATATTTGCCCCCCCCCC